CCATCTTCACTACCTGTTGTGCCGCTGCTGCCAATGGAAATGACAACATCAATTACAGCTGGTTGATATTTGATAAGTATAGAGGCTAGAAAAGTTTGTGTGATGTGGCTCATATCTGATTCTCATGAACTTTTGTTGCTTTTTTATCAAAGAGAAAAAGAAAGACCAGAATTAGCCTGAATCTAATGATTACTGCAGTCCGCAATTCAGCAATTCAGGATAGTTGCAGTCTCCTTCCCAAGCCACCCTAACACCTGCTTCCTTTTCCCCATTAACATAAAGTTTTCTCCCCGAAGTAGCCAAAGGCTAATTGGAAATTTTATCCATGCGAAGTAAGTCCACAGGCCTTTCGTTTTTCTCTTAACAATACTGCAGACTATGTTTGTTTAGAATTTATTCTCTGATGGCAATCGTTAAGTTATTCATTTTAATGGGTATTTTATAACTTTAAAAGGAAAATTGTTTCCAGGGAAGAGACATGCCTCTTAAATAGAAATCAGGTATCCAGGGGGAAGAACCACCTAATAAAACACTTTGGACAGCCCATCATAGCGTTTAGACACACAGTTCTAGGAGAGAAATAAGAAAGCATTTCTTTGGCCAAATGTGATCTGTACCATCCTGGTTTTTGCCTCACATGCTGTGAGAGACATTTATTCTCTTCACCATTCAATTATTTTGCCAAGGAGATGTGGGAATTAAAGTAGCGGCAATCATGGTAACATGTGTGTTAAGCATCAAAATACTTTGCACAGAGTAGACTTGCCAGTTGTATTTTCAACTTGGGTTTACATATGGAAAATATTGTTATTTCCTTCAGTGTCTTCAGTTTTTAATAGCTCCTATTCCATCTAATTTTTAAGCTGTAAATATACTCTAGTGCTTGAAAAGAAAATCAAAGTGGTCCTAATGCCAGAGGCTGGAACTAGTTTGTTTGCCAGCAAAATTCATCTTCAGTTTACGTGTACCTGAATGCTTGATTATATGTACCTAAATCCAATCGTAACTTAGCCCACAATTTTAGACTAAAAGAACCCAATGTGTAGATAAATTTGTTTGTCTCATGCGGTTTAGAAAAAAAAAAAAATCTGTGAGCAGGCATTTAAATATCAAGAGATTCCACAATCTTTATTTGGGCTTCTCTTCATAAATAAAAGATGTTAAGATGCTTTCTCATTCCTGAGTAGGACACTGGACAAGTAATGCATACTTACACTCTGCTATTTGTCCAAGACCTCCCGAACACCTTTGGTTTTTGCTTACTATTACTGGATATTTAATCTACTGAAATATTTTAGTCCAGTTTTTTTTTTCTCTGTAGAAAATTGAGTCTAAATTTAAAATGGCCTTTCTAATGCGGTCTGAGCCAAAAAGTATAATTCATTTTAAAGTGATTTGGGGGCAGGCTTAGAAGTATGAAGGCAGTAGGGCAAACATTTATTTAATTTCTTGTACTACTATAGAAATGATAATAACTAACAAACATTAAATACTTATTCTATGACAGGTACTGAGGCTTATATACATCATCTCATGGAATTCTCACAATAGGCCATGAAGTAGATGCTAAGTGCTATCATTAGTTTTACAGCAGTAATGAAAATCTCTACACCTCAGAGAAGTTCTGTGCATTGCCAAAGGTAAGGGGCTGACCTAGGACCACCGTCTCTATAAAATTCACTTTTCACCACACACTCTCTTACTCCATCTTACCTTGAATAACATTCTAAACTATTTAAAAAAAATCTTTAGGCCTGGCTCATGCCTATTATTCCAGCACTTTGGGAGGCTGAGGCAGGTGGATCACTTGAGACCAAGAGTTCAAGACCAGCCTGACCAACATGACAAAGTCCCATCTCTACTAAAAATACAAAAATTAGGTGAAACCCCATCTCTACTAAAAATGCATGCCTGTCATCTTAGCTACTTGGGAGGCTGAGACAGGAGAATCACTTGAACTCCGGGGTCAGAGGTTACGGTGAGCTGAGATCACACCACTGCTCTTCAGCCTGGGCGACAGAGTAAGACACTGTTAATAAATAATTGTTTAATTATTTTAAATGTAAGTTATTAAAAACATAAAGCTACATAAAATGCATATTTATATAAATAAACATTTGTCTTCATACTTAATAAAATGCTCCATGAACTCTCTGCTCCTCCTCACTCCTTTTGGGTCATAGAGAGTCCTCTTTTTATGAATGGCCCATCAAAGGGATCAGTGTGAGGTAGCATTCTTTCCTAGCATTTTCTTTTCTTTTTTTTTTCTATTGTAAATGAATTATGTATGCACCCTGAAGTAATTAGCAAAGACGTTGTTGTTCAGCTGAATTTTAAACTAATTAATCTGACCTAATTCCTGTCAAAAATAATTAGGTTAAAATATGTCCTCCCTAAGCAAGTCTTTGAAGCTGAGACACTAAAGCACAGTACCTCCTGGGTAAGCACTGTTCTAACATTGAAAGGGCCATTTATTTAACAGTTTTAGAGGAAGTGCTAAAATGCTACCTTGTGAATTGCCACCTGGGCATCGTCTCCTCCTCCTCAGTTTCTATATTCCAATTAAAAGAAAAGAAGTTGAACTAACGATGGGACTGTAACATGAGTGGTCTCAGAGAGCCCCACATATCACTTCGTTTGCAATTAAAACATCAAAACTGGTTGATTTCTCCTTCACATTCACTTTTTTTTTTTTTTTTTTTTTTTGAGACAGAATCTTGTTCTTGTTCCCCAGGCTAGAGTGCAGTGGGGCGATTTCAGCTCACTACAACCTCTGCCTCCCCAGTTCAAGCAATTCTCCTGCCTCAGCCTCTGGAGTAGCTGGGACTACAGGTGCCTGCCACCATGCCTGGCTAATTTTTAAAATATATTTAGTAGAGATGGGGCTTCACCATGTCACAGGCTGCTCTCGAACTCCTGACCTCAAGGTGATTTGCCCGCCTCGGCCTCCCAAAGTGCTAGGATTACAGGCATGAGCCACTGCACCTAGCCCACTTTTCTTAATATAAAATTGATTAAACTATCTTCTGTTTTCCCATCCTCTAACTGCCCCAATAAGCTTTTAAAATATCCTTAGTGATATGATGAATTGGGAAAATGTCTCATTCATTTTGATAACCAAGTGCTAAGCTATATGTTTCTAGAAAAATAATTTAGGAAAAGGAAATAGGCAAGCTTTATCCATAGATGCAGGTTGTCAATAAGTTTAGATGATCTCGGGTTGCAGCAACTGTGGAGGTTTGTATATGCTGGGGTTTGCCCAAAGCCTTCACTACTGCCCTGTCATTCTATAGCAGCCTCTTCTGCATGACCCCAACCTTGCTCTCGGATACCTTATGGGGCTTTTGGGAGGGAAGAGCACTGTGGAGTATATATATCACATCCCCAAGCAGTTCAGAGCTAATAATTTCTTTATTAAACCTATGAACCCTTCATGGTTTCTAGTCCTCCCTCCCCAACCCCCTTCCAAGTTAGTTTCTAGGCAACCAGTAAGCACTGAATTACATTAAGCTCTTTATTTCAAGGCTGCAGTTCAGAATTTTGCTGCATATTTGTTGGCTCATTTATAGAGATGGCAGTATAAAATTCATTAATTCTGTCTAATCTGCAGTACATCTGCGATTTGGTTAGAACCACATCACCTGTACCTGTGTTTCATGTTTAAATCACTCAGTACCATGATTTTCTTCTCTATGTAGCTTATGCCAAAGATACTGTGAGCGCTAATCTGAAATCACAGAAGCCAGAATTTCCACAATTTCTAGTTCTTGCACCTTGGGATGGTCTTTTAGGAAAGCAAAAATTTCAAAATCTCCGTTCTTGAATGGTGGAAATGTCCAACAGCTGAATATTAATAAGAAAGAACAGAAACATACTGTTCAGGAATAGTCTGAAATGCAGTAAGCATTTACAAAAGGGAGGATATTATTTGCATTAACATATTGAAATTTTGTTGTGAAAGAGAAGGCCTTGGAAATATCCCTTTGTTGGTATGAATCAAGCAATTGAGGTTGTAATTTCAAATTTTACCAAGGACAGTATGAAAATGAAGATTAATCTTTCAGCAGAACTGTTCTGTTTTGAATGCTGACTGGTTTGAGATATTGTCTTGAAAACTCTGAGCAAGCACCCCCTCTCTCTTTCTAGGTGATATTTATAAAGGGATTTGGTAAGTCTCTAAGAGTACCATAATTGAACAAAAATATAAATTAAATGTTAGTTTGTTCTCTAGTTTCTTAAAACACAAAGCAATAATTTACATTGGCCACACTAAAATGGTGGCTTTGAGAAGATAAAGTAAAATCCTTTTAAAACTGAAACTTGAATCTAATCTCTTTCCTTTCAGCTTCTTATAATGTAGCTGAGGGGGGTGGGTGTGATGTATGAAACTACAGAGATAAATTAACTGAATGGTCTTGTGGCATAGAGAGCCATCTGTCCACTATATTTGCATAGAAGAAAAGCCTTCCAGGAGACCCTACTGCCAAGGAGGAGTGGCCCAGATGAGATGAGACAGGGACGGCATCTCCCACATGACTTTGCATCTAGAGATGCCACTTACTGGATTCGCTTCAGTAAAATATGAGCAGAAGGGAGGTATGGCATTTCCAGGCCTGGCCCACAAGATCTTCTGTGTGATCTTTCATGTGCCTGTCTCTCTTTCTCTATTTTTACTTTTATAATTTTTACATTCTTTTATTTCAATGGTTTTTGGAATACAGGTGGTTTTTGGTTACATGGAAAAGTTCTTTAGCGGTGATTTCTGAGATTTTGGTGCATCTGTCACCTGAGCAGTGTACTCTCATCTGTCTCTTTCTCTTCCCTGTCTGTCCATTGGATACCAGTAAGCCCTCAACCTGGCGAAAAGTGATGCTTTGTCAAAGCTTCCATCACCAGTCACTGCATGGCCTCCATCACCTGTGACTCTCTAGATCCCTGATAATGCAACTATTGTTTATCACTGAGAATTTGGGTGTATCTGTTCCAACAACGTGTTTTACCTTGACTTACAGATGTGCCATGTATGAGTTACAAGACAGGATGACTTCAATCAGTAGAACAACAGATATTCTTGACTGTTTACTATGTGCCTTGCAATGCGGATTCCAAGGACTCTGTGGTAACCAGACAGGAATGGTTTCTTAAAGTAGTAGGAAAAAAACAGACACACGTCAAACTATTACAATCATTTAATTCCATGCATGTAATGAAATGCAAAGTAGACATTTAGCACTGATGGAGCATATAATATAGTAAGATTTAAACTACTCTGGGGTTGACAAATATTTTTATTCGTTAATACTTAGTATTTCCAAATGTTAGTTCGGATGAAAATAAATCTGGATTTCATGTTATACGCAGAGAGCTGAGTCCAGAGTAGACTAGTAGAAGCAGTAGGTTAAATTGTTTCTTCCTGTCTTTCCCCAATTCCCAGGAATCACAATGCAGCTATAAACCATTTCTTAATTATTTTTTTTTTCCTTTGAAAAAAGGAGGCCAAGCTCAGTGGCTTACATCTGTAATCACAGCACTTTGTGAGGCCGAGGCAGGTGGATCATTTGAGGTTAGAAGGTCGAGATTAGCCTGGCCAACATGGTGAAACCTCTTCTCTACTAAAAATAGAAAAATTAGCTGGGTGTGGTTGTTCATGCCTGCAATCCCAGCTACGCAGGAGGCTGAGGCAGGAGAATTTCTTGAACCCAAGAGGCAGAGGTTGCAGTGAGCCAAGATTGCGCCACTGCACTCCAGTCTGGGCAACAGAGTAAGACTTCATCTCAAAAGAAAGAAAAAAAGGAAAGCACTTAGGAACCATTTAACTTAATCCTTCCTTTCCTTTCATAGATGAGGAGGATAAATGTATTTTCTAAGCTGATAATGCCTTCCATTTTAATATACGGAACATTTAGTGTGGGCCAGAAACTATGCTAGTTCATATTTTTTATGGTAAAATTTAATATATGTATAGATGAGTACACCATAAAAATATGTAGCTCAGTGATTTGTCCCCCCCTCAAAATAAAAACAGCCATGTGATACTACCTAAATTAAAAAACCAAAAAAAAAAAAAAAAAACTAGTAAATGACTGCTCTTCAGAATTGCTAAACAGCTTAGCCCATTCCAGCTACCTTTCTCCCCACCTACTACCCTTCCTTTTATGGTCATAAAAGAGTGTCTCTCTTTATAGTTTTACTACATTAGCATGCATCCAAAAATGCTGAGCTTTATTATTTTTTGAAGTTTCAATAAATTGAATCTTAATAGTATATATTATTTTATGTCTGTCTTCATTCACTCAGCTCTGCATTTATGGTATTCATTCATGCTTGGGTCTTTCCCATTCTGTTTTATGAACATATCACAATGTATTTCATTTTATGTACAGTATACTATGTATCCAGTTTATTATGAATGATATTTAGTTTTTTGTTATGAATAGCAGGATTCTACATAATCTTACACCTGCTTATTGGCACTCAGGTGCATGTATGTACTTCTACCTCCTAATTTTTGGACTTTAGTATTATAGCAGGCATTCATGCTTCTGTACAGTTGTTCAAAGTTATTTTCTTATTTTAAAAAGTTGGAAGGGGAGAGCTGGAATAACATAATAAAGCCAGATATACTACACTAGCCGTCTGGTTATAGTGTCACAGACGTTTAGTTCAATATTTAATAGGTGAAGTTGAGTTCCATCCTGTATTCTTGAAACAAATGACTGGAGAAAACAGATGATCAGTATCCTCTTTGGAATGCCATTAAGCATTTTTTAAAACCTGATTAACCACGTTTAACATGGGTAAGATGATTGTGTTCTTGCTTGCAAGTTTGATTTTACTATTCTTAATGAATTTGTTCTGCCTTTTTTGGTCAAGCCAAGTTTTTCCACATCATAGCATAAGCTGTTCCCTTTGCTCGGAATGTTTTTATTTTAAAGACTTGAATGATTAACTAATTTCTTATCATGATAGTTTTAACTCGGGAGTCTCCCTGGAGTATCTTACCTGTCCCAAGTGACTATTACATTGCCCTTTATATTTGCTATTAGAGAATTTATCACTACATGTAGCTATCCTGTTTATGTTTTATTCATGTTAAATGTTTCCTAGGACTTCTTTTGTTGCCTTCCTGAAATGTATGCACCAGGAATGTCATCTCTCTTTTTCAGCAAGCTCTCTCCAGTGTCTATAATAATACATGGCTCATAATAGGTCCTCAATAAATGACTAATGGAAATGGAAGTAACAAAGGAAGGAGGGAAGAAGTGAGGGAGAAGGGTAAAAATGGAAAGAGGGAGGAAGAAAGGAAGAATAGAAGGGATATTTATGTAAGCCAAGGAGTAAAGAGGCTATCCATGTGATACAAAAATTTTATAATTCTATGTGATATGTATAAATGAAAGAAGATCTGTGCACTCAACTCATAACATGACTGCAAGCAATTCAGAATGTACCAAACCAGTAAAGGTTAGAAATAAGCAGTGGGCCCGATGTTTCCACACAGCGATGGAGACTGAAGGCAACAAGGAAAACCAAAACCCGGGAGAATGTGTGACCATCATTCCAATTTTCTATATATCTCCATGCCAAGCTGTATATACATGAATTGCTAAGTGCGTGACTCATGTGCATCTCAAAGAAAGAATCTGAGTCAAAAGCGACCTCGGGGTTACTAGCCATGGAAACAGAGGAGGGAGAGTGTAGTTATTAACACTGTTGTCAAAGAACAAAGAAAGGACAAAAAAGGAAGAAACTCAGTAAGCAGTGGTTCAGTATTCTCTCACATCCATTTGGAGGAAATTGGATGACGTCCAAAGTTTTAATGTGAGCAAAGTGAATGCATAACTCTGGGAGAGCTTGTCATCTTGGCAGGCTCTGTAAAATAGCTTATGTCTATCACTATTGCAATAACAGACACAAAGGGTCGATATTTAAAGGGTCAGTAAGAATGTATAGTAAGATACGTCTAGGAGTGGTCCTCAGAAAAATGCCAGAGTAATGAGTCATAAACTAGGTATAAATTCCAGGGGTTGACCACAGTGTTAGCAATAAAATAAATTCATATTTGACACACAAAGAGAAGAGAGGTAAGGACTCCCGTAGGTAGATTCAATAGAAATGTAATATAATACCTGTGGTTAGGGACAGTGAAAGTGTTTATATATCTACAGTGTCAATTTGACAGGTATTAACCCTTTAATTGATAATGGGTTCTACTCATTTAGGTTGTTTCCTTCTCCCCCAAACATAGTAACTTTAAGTTTACTGTGTTAGCTGGTTCAGAAGGTGACTCATTTTACAGACAACTTGACAAGAATACACAGCTAAGAAAGGAGAGTATGAACTGTGTCCTATAAATATCAAATTCCTTTTCTAAAGTCATTGCTGAGGAAATAAGAAAACAGAACAACCCAGGAAAATTACATGGGAGAGTAGTCAATAGATTACAAAGGGAGCCTATATGAGCATTTCTGAGCAAAAACAACAACAAAAACAATCACAAAGTGATGACTATGACACCTAATTGGAGCATAGAATCTAGGATAGAGAGCCATCTCTCATTGGCGAGAGCTCAGAGAGTGACAGTTGTGCTGAGTAATTTTGCTTGGCAATGAACTTAATACCTTCCTCTTCTTCCCACAATTAAAAAACTTGTAAAATTGGACAAGGTAACAGAGGTAGATCATCGCCCTTCTAAAGCCAACTTAGCATTCTACAGCATTTATATATCAAATCCCGAGCACTGTGATATGGAAAGTGGAGTCCATTTTGCTACCTTGCAGAAGGAGCTTCAGCTTCCCATTTCTCTTACCTTGTGCTTCACATGATGAGAACAACCCAGATGGGTTATCCCTGAGGAACAAAGAAACCCAAAAGAGTGATATTGACAGCCCAACCCTGACCCACATCTGCCCTAAGAGCTGCCAAGTCCTGTGGGCCTTGAGGATGTTCCTTTTTCCCATTCATCTCGAAGAACAAAAGTGTGACTCTTTTAACTGGGTTCCTCTCAAGAATCCAGAGTGTATGATCTATTTAAAGTAGCACAGGAAATCCCCAATGCTAAAAAAAGAAGAGCCAGTCTCAGTGCAACCCTATAAAACTTTTATTATTTTCTAGTCTAGGGATCAAGGCAACATTGAATGAAAATTCTCAGTTCCTGCTTCACTTAGAGGTAGTTCAAGTCAGGGAATCACAGAATTTCAGAGCCAAAAGATATATCTCTGTATATCCACTTCAACATTCTCAGGTTTAAGAGTATCATGATAGATGGAGGAAACATGACTTATACATTTTGTTCCTTCATGCATTTATGTAACAAATATTTATTGAGCATCAACAACACATTGCCATGCATTTTATTAGGGGGTACCAATAAAGTAGTCTCTAAGGCTTAACTCTTGCCCTCAGGAACTTGCCATCAGTTTGACAGTTAGGATGAGTAAACTGAGAATGGCACTGCTAGGCATTGCCAGAGCACAAAAGACGACAGTGTGCACAGCGGTTAAGAATGCAGGCTGTGGACTGAGGGACTCTGAGTTCAAACACACACCACTCTTTGCATGTTGTGTGACCTTGGGCAAGTGATTTCACTTCACTATGCTCCAATTTCCTTTTCATAAAATGTTGAGGACATTAGCATCTATTCCATAGGGTTCTTTGATGATTAAATGAGAAAATACATATAAATACCTAGTAAAGTTTTTCAGAATTTGTAACTGATTAATAAATGTTATAGTAGTAGCAGTATTATTATTATTAAAATCAAGACCTGGAAGTAAAACAAAAAGCTACCCAGCATTGGAATGAATAGGACTTGAAGATGTTAAGGTTCAAGAAGCATGTTCTGGCAAAGGGAATTAGGTTATTTTCTGATGTTCTGGACTTGGTTTTCTGGACTATATTTCTGACTTTTTGTGGCTTTTTGAATGCCCAGTTTTTATCTTTGATCATAATTGCACTGTGCACACAACTCTAGAGGGTGCTTCTCATGGTCCTAAGATTTTATCTCATGTGTTATCCTAGATTTTTATCTCATGTGTTCCAGCAAATGGCTGTAAAGTTT